ACCAACCACACCACCCCCCCCAGCTTAGCCAGGGTGCACGGGGGAGCCCGGAAGGGTGTCCCTTCTCAGCCATGTGAGCTTTCCACAGTGCGAGAGCAACATTGGTTGGCAGCCCTCTCCCCTTCCCAGTTGGATGTGACTAACTCTCTCCCCATGACCTCACCGGCTCGCTATTCTGTCCCTGCATCCTCCAAACAGGCTGAGGACAGAGCCAGGGGCGACCGTTTCAGGGAGATGGATTTTTTCTGCAAAAGCAGGAAATATCTTTCCCAGCCCTCTTTGCCACAGAGCAAACCAGCCTCCGAGTCGCTCACCACCGCGCTGGGATGCTGCTCAGACACTGAGCATCGTGGCGGGGCTGGGAACTCCATGCCTGCTCCTCTGCAGCAGTAAGAGCTGCAGATAAAGCCCCCAATGAACCCCCCACTCACCCTGGGTTCAGAAATCTCAGAACCCTCCAGCAAACACCTAAAACCAGTTTATTAGCAGATTCAGAAATCTCTCTCATGCTCAAACAGGCTGGCGGCGGAGCAAGGTTTAATAAGCAAGGCTTTAGGGTTCAGTAGTCACATCAAAAAGCAGGGGGAAAAGAACGATTCCTTTCTGACTGACACAGCAGCACAAATATTTGTCTTCAGTGAAAAAACTAACAAAAAACCCAAACGAGTGAGAAACGAAACCTTGCCAAAGTCCTTGCATTTGGGTCAGCTACAAGGGTTTGTTGGACCGCAGACCGAATGTGCCATTTCAATTTGGACAAGCCCAAGTGTGAGGAGAGGGTCAGCTGTTAAATTGCCTTTCAAAGTAAAAAGGTGGAAAGATTTAATTTCTAAATCGTTCCGTTTTCTAAGAGAGGCCACAGTCTCCCGTTTGCTCTAATTGATTGCAATCATTCGGTAACCCAACGTGCTCAGCCCACAGGAGTATTGCACAACCATCTTTCCCATTCCAGAAATAATTTACCCAGCACTTCAGGCTCAGGCTGAAACCGTTGGTACCTCTGCCTTCACCTCCAGCCAGCACTTCCTCAGGTTGGTCACAGGCTGGGGAAGTTTTGGGAAGAGTCAGGCCCATAGCTGCCTGCTGGACTGAGCTCCCCACTTCATCCAACACAGGATGAGGAAAGGGAAAGCAAGAAGATTTGAAGCTTGAAGACTTGTATAGATGAGCTACAGCGTGCTACATGTCTTCATCCAGTCACCTGTCTATATAGAGGGATTTTCATGCAAGGTAGAAGGAAATTCAGCCCCTCACGGAAACATTAGGAAGACTGGAGGAGGGCAGGAGGGAGGGTAGAGAGCTTTGCTGTCCCAGCAGCCAGGAGCAAGGTTTGCTCCAGCAAGACTTCATCACAGGACTGGGTCGTTTCTCTTATGTGGTCCTGACACCTCTGCCAACAGCTTTGGGAGGTCTTGGTTTGGGGCAACACACTCTTTGTGGAAGGTGCTTATTCTTCCTGAGGAGGTGAGGAGACCCTGCAGGTCTCGGGACGGGCTGAAAGCACCTCAGTTCAGCTTTGGGCACGCAGTCACAGCTTGCCAGGTATCTGGGATGCTCAGACTTCTGCTCTGACTGGGGCCGGCTGCCCATTTCACATCCAGCTCTTGACTTCACCTCCCTCTGGACCCCCCGCCAAGGGAGGGGGTGTATTTCCATTTACCCTACAAAACACCTCCTCCTCCTGCAGAACATCGATACCAGCACTCATGCTCCGGCTGCACCGCTCCACACGGCCACGGACGCCTGCTCCAGACAAGCCAACATTGCTGGAAAGGTCAAGTTTCCTTTGGGCAATTCCTCATCGGCACTTGAGAAGATTATAATATTGAGGCGAGGGAAATTTCTGGCACCAAATGAGCTGTGTTTAAGGGAAATGCTGAAGACTCGAGGAGTCTTTTGCACGGCCGACAGCTCAAAGGAAGCTTTGCTGGCCCAAACCCAACCTTCAGCACTAAAGGTAATTCCAGAAAGGAAAATTAAATGCCTCCCAGAGGCTTTGGGCTTTTCAGACCTCTGCCAGAAAAAAAAAAAATAGGAACCCTCTACCAGCACATTGGACATTCCTGTCTCCTGAGCTCGCTGGGGTATCAGGCCAGGTCAGTGTTGACTTTCGTCGTTGCCTCTGTCGGGTAGGCTTCCTCCGCAGAGCCAGTGTTCATGAGGGAAGAGGTTTTGGGAACAGGGTTCAGGAGGAACCATGTGCAACCTCTGACATG